CACAGAGACAAACACTTGCGCCACAGCTCAGAGCCCGCCACTTCAGATGCTCCCACGGCTCGCCTTTAGTCTCCGTTAACTTTCATCCACCAGTCCAAGCCCAGGTCGGTAAATGCCCCATCCACACAAGTGAGGTGCCAGGGCCATCTTTCTCTCCATGGCGCTGCCACCACGCATTCCTCCCAGCTCGTGGCTTCCGTCCCAATATGGCGCAGAAAACCCCTCCCCAGTCCATCCTCCGCCGCAGGCCCCGCCCCTCAGAGGAACCAGTCACCTGGGAGACAGTCACATAGAAAGTTTGAGCCAAACCTGGGCTACATAGTAAGTTTGAGGCCAGTCAGAGCTTTATGAGACTCAGTCTTGAAAAACCAACCGAAACAAAACAAACAAAAACCCTATGTAACACAGACACTTTATTACTGTTGGCCTTTCCTATTGGGTCTTGTTTGTTTCTCTGACTTCCAAGGTGGTTTAAGGCCAGGGCTCCAGGTTTGCCTACTTAGTGTATTGGGAGGTATTGCTGTGAAACTTCTCCGACAAAGAAGAGGAAACTCCCTTCCTTCAGCTTCTTTCACTGGCAGTGAAAGGCAGCGGTGTCCGAGAGGAAGGCAACAGGGCTGTGCAGACTCTGCCTCCTCATGCCTTGTTACAGAAAATTAGGATAGAAAAGAAGCTTCACTACAGCTATGGAGACATCTTAATAGGTGCTTTGATTGTTAAACAGAAGTTTCTGGATGAGTTTAATTGCCATAAATGTTATTTGCCTTCTCTGTTATGATAAGGCCTCCGTTATCAGGGATTGTTTTCCTCCCTTTTTCCCTTTCAACAGTTTTCCTTTGCCCTGAGATTTGCATTGGTAATTTTAATGAAACCCAAAGAAAGTAGAGAGATGTTCTTCAAGTTCAAGTCTCACACCCACGTAGGAAGGCTCAGCGCAGGTTGTGACAACTCAAGACTAATGAGGCTGAGCTGCTTAATGTAATTGACAGAATTCACCCCTCCACCAGATCCTGGGAAATGAAAGCCAGTCATGGAACTTAATTACATCTGCTCTCCTGAAAAGGAGCTATTATGGGGAATAAGTATGGTACAGATCTGTTGGAGAGTGCACACCGTACAGACGGTTTACTGTGCTCACAGAGCCTTCGTGTGAGTGTGCTTTATTTTGTGGGGAGATGATTTTAGAAACTTCTAGATCAGGAGTCTCAACCTTAGTGTTATTGATATTTTGGATGTGGGGAAGGCCTGACCTTTGTATTATGGAGAGTTAAACAGCACTGCTGACTTTACCCCTAGTAGCTGCCAGCAGCAAACCCACAGTGTGATACTGTAGAATGTCCCCAGAAATCACCAGATATCCACCCACAGGGGGACAAAAACTTCTGTTGGAAACTTTGAGAACACTTTCTTTCTAGGTGTGTGTGTGTGTGTGTGTGTGTGTGTACAAGAGAGGGAGGGAGGGAGAGAGAGAGTGAGCAGAGGTTGAGGTCAACTGTCCTCCTCCATCAGTCTCCACTTTATTTTTTGAGACAGGGTCTCTCACTGAGTCTAGAATTCATCCATTCAGCTAGACTGGCTGGCCAGAAGTCCCCAGGAAACCTCTTGTCTCTGCCTCCCCAGTGCTGAGGTTGCAGATGCAAACCCCTGTGCCTGGCATTTTACATGGATGCTGGCAACTGGAACCAGAGTCCTCCAGCACAGCAGCTGTGTTAGTTATGGAGCCCTTTGAAGGGTTTTTGAATAATTGCAGTTGCTTCTTGAGATGCACAGGGGCATACCTTCCAGCTATGAAGTGGGTGGAGGGATGCCTGGCACATACTAAGCACTCTATAAACTTTCTATTATAATAATCTTGAGTTCAGCAAACATGTATTAAGAACATACTTACCGCCAAGCACTACGCTATGAGGTGGATGTAGAGATGAAAATTTGGTTCTTGCTTTTGTAGAGGAGGTAAATATACATTGACTTGGTAATACCTCCTTCTTCACTCATGGCAGACATTACTAATCAATATTGGTGCTCTTCCTCTGAATCTTCTATGCAGCTCTAGTCAGGTACTACTAATGGCCCGTGAATTGGCTCCCATTCAGTACTTCCTGTTTTGTAGATTGCTAATGAGGAGGCTAAGCTTCATTTCCAATACAGCCTTTTAAAGTTTATGGTGTTATCTTTCCTTCTGTGTGTCATGCTATTCTGCAAAATGGGTGAGAAGGGGGAAAATGATGACAAAAAAGAGCACTTTTTCCTTTCCCTCAGAAACTTAACTAAATAGTAAAATGGACTTGGAACTTCAGTTAAACCAGAGGAAATCCCCCAGGTTATGGTTCTGATGGATCTGTCCTGCAGTTTCTTTCTTCAATTTCAGCTATTGGGGTTTGAGAAACCATTACCTCTCTTAGAAAAGGTCTTAGCTTTGCAAGACCTTCATAGAGGCTTCTGGAAACAATTCTCAGATGGCCAAGGCTGTCACTAGACAGAACAGTGAGTGGGCTGGGGTTAAACGCTGCTCCATGATGAGTTCTGACATGCCTAGTTTCCCCATCAAGAGTGGCACCCCTTGACAATGGCTGTGGAAAAATGAGTCTCCCATCTGCAGCCCTGAACACCCAAGCAGGGAGCACCAAAGCAGGCTCTGTCCATCTGGCTGCAAAGTGGGAGCTGGTGTGGGTCAGCCACGTGCTTCTCTCCCTGTCTTTCAGAGATATGGAAGGCAGAACTGGTTTTCATTTCATTCTGCTCTTGCTTCGCACCACTGCTGCCTGTGCAGTCTGCTGAGGGGCTGGCGGGGAAGCAGGCAGGTGGGTGGAAGCGAAGACTTGGGCTCAGAGTCTCAGAAGAGGTGGAACTTGGTCACCAAGGAAGTGACAGTATGGTTGGCTTGGATTTAGCCTAAGGCATGAAAGAAAAGACCAGGTGGGCCAGGCACCCAGTCTGAAGTCTTCATGGTTTATTATTTCTTCCTTGTTCAGCCATCTATTCATTATCCATCCATATACTTACCCACCTACCTACTCATCTATCCATCTACCCACCAACCTTCATTCATCTACCCATCATCCATCCATCTATCCATCTACCCATTCATCCACCTGCATCCATCTACACACCCGACTTCATCCATCTACCCATCCATCTATCCATCCATCCACACATTATTCACCCATTTACCCACCTAACCATCCATCTATCCTCCATCATTTGCCATCCTTCATCCATCCATCCATCCATCCATATACTTACCCATCCACATATCCATCCATCTACCCATCCATCTACCCATTCACCTACTCACCCATCCTTCTATCATACATTCATCCATCTACCTTCATATATCCATCTACCGATCCATTTATCCATCCATTAATCATCCATCAGTCTATTACCCATCCATTATGACTCTATCCATCTATCCACTCATTCATCCATTATCCATCCCTCCATTATCCATCCATCATCCTTCATCCATCCATCCATCCATCCCCCAATTATCCATCCAGCCCTCCATTATCCATCTACCCATCTATCCACCCATCTACTCCTCACCTTTATTTATCTGCTTATTCTGGTATGAGTTTATATTATATACAGTTGGACATTCTGAAAGTAGAGTTATCTAAAATACAAAACAAATTATATGGTTTTCCACATAAAGTTTGTTCTTTTGGATTTAGTTTGCTTTTCAAGACAACATCTCCCTCATGTAGCCCATGTTGACCTCAAATTCATGATCCTCCTGCCTCAATCTTATCCCTGCCCCTGGGTGCTGGAAGTACAAGTGTATGCTACCATGCCAGGCTTAGAATTTGCTTTTAAAACAAATATTTGAGAGCTAGGCATGGTGGATATGCTTTTAATCCCAGAACTAGGGAGGCAGAAGCAGAGGGAATCTCTGTGAGACCAAGGCCAGCCTGGTCTACATAGTGAATGCCAGGCCAACTGGGACAGCAGGGAGACTCTATGTCAAAAAGACCATGCCAGTATATA